ATATATGCCTTCTCCACAATGAAGTTATTGTTTATTGATTCCCACTTCTGTCATTATTTTCTGCTTTTGAAGCCGTCCGTCACGCCAGATCCCCTCAAGGATAGCCACCTTTTCTTCATTCGAAGTGAGGATAACGTTCGGCAGTCAGACAAAAATTAGAGGAACGTTGTCGTCGCATGCGTGCGCATCGTCTTTTCCCAACGTTGACCCTTGTACCAACGCTGTTGTATAAATGGTTGCATTTACTTCAATACATTTTTTGCTGTTTGATTCCCTTCTACTCATCCTCCGGCCTGACGTCTGACGCACATGAGGAAACTACTGTTCCTCTCCTTACGGACCATCTCCTTCAGGGCAGCAATGCGCTAAAATTTGTGCCCCTGAAGGTCACCAGCTGACTGCATATTTCGGCCCATGTAGCCCCTCGGGCAACTCCACATACGCGGGATCTGAGCTACCCTTGCCCAATCGTAGCCCTTATATTCGGGACTAGGACACTTAGACTGGCTATTTAGCCTTGTCAGTACATTGGGTCTGGCGAGCTAGAGGTCGGGACTTGGAGGATTGTCTGCTGACGAAATAACCTGCTCCTGACGGTCAGTGCTGTGTGTGTATGGTTAACTGGCTTGAGGACTAAGAGTCAGGCTGAAAGACTCCTCGTGCGCCTAAGAGCCGAATACTCCTTAGAGAAGCCTAGTGCACCTATTGGTAACCAGGCCATATGTGGAGCACATTGACAGGATGTCCAACTTTGTCAAGCACCGCGTCCGAGCCCACCTCTGGTAGCCTCGACGTTATCTTGCCTTCGAAGGGAGGAGAAGGTGCAGTAGATGCTGTGCGAGTTCGCCCCACTATGAATCAATACAAGCGCAAGTCACCGGTGCTGCATCCTCTCCAGGGGGCACACGGTGAATGATGCCAGTCGCAAGGATCCATCTCTCGTATCACCAGCTTGAATAGAAGTTTTACAACCTTTACTGAGTTAAAGTCAGTCGGTCAACCGGTTTAATTTATGGACAAGAACACGACAGGATCTGGGTGAAAACCAGTCCTTATAATACACCAGTAACTAATCTGCATTCTACGGGAGGGGGGGAGCACTTGGAAGGAAACGGAAGTTTGGATCCCTCGTCTTACAGGTGGCAATGACCTACAGTACGTACCGATTTGGGTCCTAGGCAGACTTCTATTACGCTTTGTCTTCATAAGAAGGGGATCCATTTTTATTTTCTAAAGGTTTTCCGCAACTGACTGCTCATACGGTAGATGTACAAACTCATGAAATGTCAACCGAAATTTCGAAGTGCGTTCTCGTTTCGAAAAGGTTAATTAAGTAGAGTTGTGAAACCAATCATCATGCAGCGTAATTCTATAATAATTCAGTTATCTCAGGATGCCGGCTTTCGAACGAACTTCCCTCCGACCTCACACAAAAGCTATACTCTGCAAAAAATGACTACTTATGTAGCACGCAGTTTCTCATTGATTTTCGAGGACCTTAAAAATTCAATGGTATTTCATGGAAAATATGCAAAAAATATTCATTCTTTTGCTCTTTCGATAGAAAATGATATCTTTTTTTTCAATTTTACACTCAAAGAAAGGGCATAATTTGGTTTTAAAGTTTCTAATTGTGGGAATTTTAAATACAGTGAAATGACCCTTTCATAAAACGTCATGTCTCTGCATTTACCGATGTGGATTGTAAAGTTAACAATATGGATCAAATCCACTGCCTGATTTTATGAACCCTATATTGTCTCCTCTTAATGCCGTAGAGAAATGTATGGTTTCTCGTACGCGGAAAATATACGGCTTGTAGTTTGGAAACCCTGAATACAAGTGTAACGGCAGACCGGGTTCAAAATTATTCGGAAATTCGAAAAGTTTTTGAAAACCGAATTATACCCTTTCCTGGAGCATAAAATTGGAAGAAGATGAAGAGTTCGAACCCCAGGTGTTCCACACTTCGGGTTAGGGCATGACTGACTGACGACGGCTAATAATCCAGAAATGGCCATTCCAGTCTCCCTTGTCTTTGTCGGTAATACTGTTCTGCCTGTATTATGCGTCGCTGTGCGGCTGCTGGTTGGGCTCGAGAGAGAGTCCGTAAGGCACAACGGGACGAGTGAATTCCACAGAAACGATCGGCGAGCGTCCCTCTATCGTTACCGTTGGGGTTGGGGTTAGGAAATGACACTAAGTGCCTCCACAAAGCCACCTGTGGTATTGGGGTCCTTATTCCTTTGCCTGACAGTGTACTTTTTAACTTAATATCAGGCACACGGCCCATCGATATCCCGCCAGGTTCCAGAGCCAAAAGAAGTAAGTAACTTTAGAAACTTCTTAAAAATGAATTCGGCACGAAGAGAGAGAGAGAGGAGAGAGGGAGAGAGTAGAATAAGAAATAACGCCGAGGTACCAGAAAACGGAGACCACACTGGGGAGAATATTCAGGGGTTCAGGCGTGGAAGAAGGTTGCAGTCGGAAGACACTGAACTAACTTCAGATTTGTCAAATGCATGAATTAAATCCGATACGAACCACTAGGTTAGTTGGCAAGGCTGATCTCAACGTCCGCAAGAAACCGAAAAGCGTAAGCAGACTAGTTCGCACCAATGAAAAGGTTTAATCAAAACACTTTGAGTCCTAGGACGATGTTTGATTTCGCTGATTTGGTGAATTTTTAACGAATTTTGAAGACAATGAGGCGAAGGATATGAAAATTTTGTAACTGTGCTGGCGGAGGCGTATGCTAAAGTGGGGCTGATCGGGACAGTCTTTCAAAGTAGGAAGGCACTACCTCCGTCTGCTTGCTATTCAGCATTGGCGTAAACGCTGTGGAAGAGCGTGATGGGCTAAGTCAGTAAATCGTTATACGTTTGGTTATCGGATGTTGACTACCACACCCTTTCATGTGCTTTACTGATTAGCAAGTATAACAAGCTACTCAAATCGACTTAGTAGCCCCATTAGCAAAGTTGAGACATATTTCCAACCCGGGAATTTGACCCAGCTACCCTTGTCAGCGGGTCTGAAAGGGCCACGCATTCGGCAATTGTCGTGCCGTCAGAAATAGCCATTCCAGTGTCCCTGCTAGTTGTAGTGGGACCACATGTGTTGGCCGCCGGTGCCAAAGCAAAGTAGAGTCTAAGCGGAGAAGACGAGTGCTAGCATGGCTTCCTCTGGGGTTTGAATTTTCTAACGGCGCATGAAGCCACGCATCATTAGGAACCGACCATGATTCCCAGTGCAGTTTTAAATTCTAGCTACAGCTTGCTATTCCTAGCTATGGTTCAACAAAATCGTTTGAGGCACCGCGACGCAATACTGCCGTCATCCGGCTCTTGTGAATTCTGGACCGATGTCCGAGATGGTCGGTTTAGGGATCCCGAAGGCACTAAATACAACATGCTGTTCATTTATGGCAATCGTCGAAGGACAAACCATGTCTTTCAAGGCATCTTTATCCACCATATTCCCTAAAGAAGACTTAAAATTATACATGAGAATTCGGTTCTGGAAAAAATCAGGTTAAAATATGCAGGCCTGAGCGACTACCTCGATAACGGCTTCTGCGTATTCTGGCATATATGAGGCATGTGTGC